TATATGTAATTATTTTCAATTTGGGCCCTTATTTGTAATTATTTTCACTTTTCGGGCCCCTATATGTAAATTCCCCTTTTATTTATTAATTGATCCTTTAGGCTTGTTGCTTTAACAAAATAATAGTTGCTTAATTTAGCTTAAGTTTGCATGCTTTTTTATTTGAATTCAAAGTACATATTGTAAATAGAATAATGATGGGTTGAAATAAATTTAAAGTTTGTAATGCGCTTATAATTCTAAAAATACAAATTAAGTTAATCCATTTTTCAATATTTTTTGTTTCTTAAAGATAACATATATACAATTTAGTCAGAACACTTGAACCCTCCATTTTCCGACATACAACGACATCCACATCCAGTAGGACATTCATCATCTTCTGACTTAAACCATTCACGTAAATGAGCTGTATGCCCTCCATGCTTACACATAATACAAAAATTTGTCAATCCTGGGTTTTGGAGGTAATAAATTTATTAGACCTTAAAATCAATTTAAATTTCAAAAATCATAAAATAAAGCTGCATACCTCTGACAAATCGATGACAAATCGAACATTTTATGCCAATCCTTTTACGCTGACAGTTTCCACACTTTGAACCTGCCTTTATTTCAGCCCCGCATTGGTGGCAGTGTATTCCAATCTCTATTTAGATGAGAGGTAAGTTTAGAATGTAATAGTACTAGAATATTAACATTATTTATACAATAATTACCTAAAGGTTGTTGTTGCTCACCAAGAGGGCTTCCTATTGTGGTTTTGACAAAACTCATAAACTTCAAAAGCTCAGCGCGTGCTTCATAAAGACCCCAATGATATAATATTTCAGCATATGCTAAACGATATTGGTCATGTAATGCAGTCGTTGACCTATCGTCATCTAGCAATGTAATAGTTTTTGGACTATCAAAGTAAAAAATTAAAATGGCTAAGTTAATAAAACGACATGTAAGCTGATCTACGAAATAATGTAAATTATTTACTTTCTTTCGTCATCAAATTCATCGCAATTCATGATCAAGCTCACTCCTGAATTCTTTTTTTCTATTTTTCTTTCACTGTCCATAAGCTTGTCCCCATAATATCCAATCACACTCAATCCAAAATTATCTAATCGATAAACAGACCCATTAGTAGCAGGACTACTTTTACGTAGCATTCGTGGTGATGATGCGGTAGTGCTAACACTTGAGGAAAACATATTTGATTCTTTTGACGTTCCACCGAATGTAGATCTTCTTTGGTGGTGTATAGAATGACTGGACGAAGGTACCATTATCGGACCACCAGATTCATCAGAATTTCCATAAGCGAAGGTCGATGGCGTGGGAGGAGTCGCAGATATAGTTATATTGCTGCTTGAATCAATCTGATTGTTCATTACGCCCCACGAACCTTTTGAAGAATTAGATTCGCTAAATATTTGTCCAAATGTTGTAGATATTGTCTGGTAACCATATTGGTAAGGATTACGAACAAAAGTGGTTGCTGGATAATTTTCAATGTATCGTGGGTAATTATTAAAATAGTCTGCATTGTGTGGCAACATAGCAGGGTTTAATGAATCCGGGGTAATCTGTTTTTTTTTTTTTAAAAAAAAAACAAATATTATGACCGATTTAGTTCATCACCGTAAAATGATTAATTCACACTACAGAATGAAGTTCATGCGACCGTACAAACTTCTTTTGTGGAGGAAATGGCTCTCGAAATACACAAGATAACATGGCAAACATTTGGATGTCCCCTAACGCAGCAAAGTGGTTAAACCTGCAAATATAATGAGATATTCAATTACAATTAAGCAGATGGTCATAGTAATAAAGGACAGACTTTAGAAAAAAAAAAAAAAACATACAAACTCTGCACAGTATTTCTTCCTAAAGGGTGGAATCCCCAATTCACCTTTCCATATAAGCTTGGAAACCCATCTTCGTAACTATTATTGCTAAGCCTTCTTTTGCCAGCGTATTTTCCAAACAATAAACGCTCGGATGACATACGCTTATTGTGAATAATTTGGGCTAAAATTAAGGAAGCTAGAAGCCAAGCTTGTTCTAAGTCTGGTCTGTTATTGTCT